CATAGAGCAGAAGCAGTTGGATGATATCAAATGTCCATCTGTTGTGAATACAATTAACTGAGTGGGGTCTGGATGCCTTCATTGGGTAAACTCTACACACTCTGATGTGGGATCAATTTCAGGTTAAGTTAACTTCCTTATAAATAATTACATTGAACTAAACTGATTATGTCTGTTCCTCCTGACATTGTATACTTCACCATTGGAGAAAGACACAAAAGAAATACAATGGTGCATATCTTTAAGAGCTGATGCAAGGATCATATCCAACTAATCAACTAAGTTGAGTAACAGCATACATGAACTTGAAAACAATGCAAATTTCACTAACATGGCAAAGGCAAAAAAAATCCCAAAACAAAACTTGTACAGTTGTGACCTCTGGTGGTGTGGCATGGAGCAGCCTATTGGTCCATTCCTGTAGGAGAATCCTGTTAGAATTTATCATCATTTACAAATGTCTCCTTCTGACAGATAGTAGATGAGACCTTTAACTACAATTGTGAAATCTGATTTTTATGAGATAACAATACCCCTCCCAGTTGTGTGTCACAACTCTTCAAAGGAAAATAAAAAAAACTTTGGATAGGATCTTTTTCATGTGCAGCTTAAAAAAGTGGAGGATAGATTTTAAAATGTTCATCTGCAAAACTGGCAGTGACAAAACAAAGTACACAGTCAAGGTAAAACCATATCACTCGTGTATGTTGAGTGTATCCAGTTAAGACCACAATTATCCTTTTTAATTAAATTCTAATTATTAGCTTATACCTTGCTTTCACCATTGCTTAGCACCATTTTTTGTCATGTCTCTGAGCTGTGAATAGGTCCTGAGAACATCAGGCTCTTTGAGGACTTCAGGAAATAGAGAGCACAATTCTTGACCTTTAAAAATCACTTCATCGATAAAGGTTGGTAAAAGTTTCTTCTGGCTGTGAGATATTCTTCACATTCTAATACTGTCGTACTGTGTTTGGTGTGTAGATTGAAGGAATTAGCCGCCCTCAGGCAGTCAAAGAGTTTACCTCAAAGAATGAAGCTTTGGGGGAATTTTACTTTTTGCAACTGTGAGGCAAAGTCTTTATGCTTCAGCATGTGGCTTTACTCTAGATGTGCATGTGGAGCCTGCCTATTTTCTCAGTGTTAATATGTGTCTGCCTTGTTGCTGGCAGTATGTAGCCCCTCCCCCACCTTGTATGTTAAGAAAGGCTTCTCTGAACAGCTTAAATGGGCATAGAAACATAGAAACCTCTATAAAGAATCATAAGTCTCGTCTAGTTTGGCTCACACAGAAGACGTCTTTTAAGTCAATACCAGCTTAGCTCTGAAGTAGTGAAACACAACAATAATCATCTCCACAGATATTGTAACCTGAGGCTTTTCAGCTCATCCTTAAACCAGATGTGGCCAGCTGTATAGGATTTTGTATTGGACCTACTTGTGACTACGTTTCTTAAGACATAAAAAAAATTGTGTTAATTTGACTGATGCTTTTGTCCAAAGAGACTGTAAAAAAGCCCAGAGACAGTTTGTTTAGCTTAGCTGCCATGTCCAAAGATAACAAATTCCATCTACCGCCACCTCTCACTACCAGGGGCGTCATGCAACCCCAAAATGTGAGGGGGCACAGTGGATTGGGTTCATGCACTATGAGCGAGCACAAATTTTTAAGGGAAATGCCCTCAAATCACTTATTTTGGGCCCCTGCTGCACAACGCCTTGAGGTTGGATAGGGCCCAAACTGAAAGCCGACCCCCCCGTCCAGACACACACACACACACACACACACACTTAACGCATCTACACCTTGCCATGTAAACTATTTTGTGTAAGGAGGAAAGGAGTTTTTCTCAAACAAACCCTAGCAGCTAGGAAAATATTGCAAACATAGCTAAGCTTATTGTATTGCATAAAATATTTGGCTACACACTAACGTTAATACACACAAACGTGAACCCAGGCTGGTTCCCACTACTGACAGCAAAACGTAACGTGACGTAGATAACGATAGCCAATGTTATTGGCAACGGCGTGCCAAGGCAATAAAAAAGGACACAATCATACACACTCACCCATCTTGTTAGGCGGCCTAACGTTGAAACACAGATACACCAAAATAAATCCCGTCCCAAGTTTTTCTGATACTTCCATGGATACTCACTAGGCTACTAGTAGCTGATTAGTCAGGCAAACGTTACAGTCCAGACATTATAGGCTAACGTTAACCCTTAGGTTAGATAGCCGTCATCGCCGGCGATACCAGGGGGGGGGGGTATAGTCGTACTCTTTCGTGTCTATTTCCGGAACGGAAAATAAGAGCGACGTAATTCTTTTTTTAATGAAAGCAGGACACTTTAGCCTTTACATCGATCCCATCGGTGTGTTTATAGCTTACCCGTAAGCCTAGATGTCAAGCCGGTAAGATCGGCTGTCCAATGGGAGACCTGGGTGGCTAAAATCCAATGGGAAAGCTGTGAGCGGTCACATGATCGGCCAAAGATCATTTATTATCAAGATGGTTGCTCTGATGAAGTGTGTGATCACTACTAACAGGAAATCTCCCCTAAATCCTAATAAATAATGCGTAAATTACCATTTATGCATTTTATGCAAGTTACGGCCACTAAATGGGCCTGAGATGAAGGAGATTATTTAGAATACATTTCACTCAATATGCCCACTGATCATAGCTAGATGGTAAAATAATAAGTAAGGTAAAGTAAGTAAAATAAAATTGGTTGAAAAAAAAAAAAATCATCCCTCAAATCTGAGGGGGCACATGCCCCCTCGGTTTCTATTGACGTGACGCGTCTGCTCACTACTTACTGCAACACTTTATATTTCATTTCCCTTCAAAAACCAAAGTGTAAAAATGAGTGTATTGTTACAGTGCGTTATTGTATTTCAGTCAGGGGAGACTTTATTTAGAGTTAACAGATAAATGTTTTACATAGCGCACAGTGAACAGTGAAGAGTGAAGAGTCTTTGGCAGTGAGACCCAAACATGTCGTAGGGGGAGAGATGTAATGCCATGATTAGTGCGGGCCTCATTTGTCACAGCGTGGCTCTGGGACTGTGACAAAAATGGGAGACACACAGTGATGTGATTATGAAATAAATAAGTGATTTATTAAACACAAAATAATCAAAACAAGTTGAACACATGGGTCGGAGGATTCTGTAAATTCATTAGTGCAGGGAGAGGATGAGTGAGAATGTGCTGCATGGGTGTTGTGCTGTAAAAACAAGAACGAAACCAAAAGTTTTTTGAGATGAAGAGAGCTGGCTGAAGATCTAGATGACGGGAGATGGAGCAGGGCTCCTGATGAGCTCAGTGGAAGGAACCATGGGCACTGGATGTGATGAAGACAGGAGGTGAACGTGTAGGAGTGTCGATCAGTTTGTACTGGAATGACAACTGACAGCAGCAAAGAGGATAACAGTTTGACGGCGCTGATATAATTTGTTTAGGTAGACCGTGCCAAAATCTGGTTGGATTAGGAATGAACGCCCATAGTCAGAGAGTGAGGGAGAGATTTGTGAGTCTGTGAGAGTGTGAAGAGAGTCTCCCTAACTGAACCTCTGCTAAGATTTATGTACCACATTATTTCTTGGCCAGAAGCAACAAAACGCCAAACTGTAGGCCTATTCATCTGAATTGGAGGAGGTAGTGGTTTGGTGATATTTCACTTTTCACAAGTATTTCATTTTGCATCAAGCTACTAAGATAACTATGCAACACTGTAAACTCCACTTCACTTACTTTAAGTTTTTGGGAAACAGCTTGTACTCAAAACCTTTAGTCTAGTACAATACAGTAACATTAAAGTTTTCCGTACACCAGACACAAAATAAATGTGTCACATGACCCTTGTCTGACAGGAATTTTATGTCAGTTTGATATAACTCTTTGTTGTTGTTTGAGCATTTGATTATATGTCACATGAACATAAAAACACATTTCACGTTTTTTTTTTTTACATTTACTGAACTCCAAAAATATATTGTGGTAACCTCGGTTACCAGGAGATGCTATCCATATCATCATAGTATAACTTTAAAAGTGCCACTCTAATATCCACACAGGCGGGATGTCAGTATCTGTGTATACGACTAAACACATGCAAATGTATTTTAACACAACATTAACTGTAACCCATTAAAACCATTGTGAAATACATAAACAACAATCACTGAGTAATGGGTAACATGAGTGATTTAGAACACATTAAAACACAGTTTTTTTTAGGCTTATGGCCTTAAACATATTGTCTCACGGCATGCTGGGAAACTCAGCCCTAAAAAGCTGTCAACCGTAAACTAATTAGGTTTAATTGGCTTTATGAATTTTAGTCAAATTAGTCAAAACTCAAAACTTGTTGACTTAACATAAAAAACGTAAAGTTTTTATGTTATTTTGACAATCTTGCATTTGTGTAGAATTTACATTAAAATTCTGTGTCACTGATGGATTGGGGTTTACAGTGTATTTTTTTGCCTATCAAAAAGATCTTGGGATTACTTTAAGATTTATAATACCTGCAGCTGGGTTACCAGGATCACCTGAGGCTGTATGCTGTGTAGTAGCACACCTAGGTTGAGCAAGATTTCAACACCTTTACCAGTGTCTCTAATCACTCTCTAATCATCTCTAGTATGGAGTGACAATAACCATATTAATGTAAGCATCAGTATTCTCAAAACACAAGTGTGTTTGTGTGTTTAAAGGTCTCTCCTCCTACAGAAATATCAGCATCTAATAGAGAGCACAAAGGAGAGGAGACGCCATATTTCTTCCTCTCCCTCATCCTTGTCCTTTTGGCTCCTATCCCAACACATCTAACACTGGTTGGTCTCTCCCCTGAGAGACACAGATTAGCACATTCTAACACATTAGAGAATTGTACAAAAAGAAAAAAATAGTAAGGGGCATTGCTGAATTCTGATGAAGAAACTCCCAGATGCAAAGGTGTTGGATGTTCAAGAACAGAAGAAACGGCTGTCTTTCAGTAGACCACAACAGCCTACTTATTTTTATTCAATAATAGTGTTAAACAATTACAGATGGTAATAAAGAAAAAAGTGATTAAATTATTTAATGCCAAGCTAAACTTCCACTACTCAAGTCCACTAAAAAGATAAAATAGAATGATTGCTCTAAAAGAAACATAATGGAACCTAAAGCAGAGGAACTGTATCAAAAAGCACAAAGATCCAAAATCGAACTAAAGAGGTCAAAAAGGGAGTCCTAAAAGAAACGTATTATGATGTCACAGTGAAATGAAGTTGACCTTTTGGATATTAAATGACATCACTTCATTTTATTCTAATGGATATTTGTCTGAAATGTTGTCATAATTTGTATATGAATCCTTGGATTACAGCCAAAAACATGTTTTGTGAGGTCACAAGGTCACAACACGGAGGCATTAAGAGAGTCATTTCTTGCATTTTCTTGGTTACCTACATATTAGTCTAAAGGGGGGGATTCTACAACCTAAACATCTTCATATATCTTAGAAGTTCAGATATATCACTTCTAACATGGTGGCATAGGCAGAATCTGCATATACAAGATAAATCTTTAGACAACTGTATTACCAGGTTCAGAAGTTCACACACGCAAGCATGAAACAAATAGGAAGTTAAGACAGTTAAGACTTCTTATGTTGGATCAGTTAAGAGTCAATTTTAAGCACTTTTGTTGTTCTTCCAATGTAAATTGTGCCCTTCAAACAGTCTCAAACAGAAGAACTATATGTCAAGGAAATAAGGGACTGTGATGACTGGCATGCGTAGAGAGCACGTGAAGCAGGGTGCACTCTGGACCTTTGGGGTCTTCCTTCACCACTATCTGGTTAGTCCAACTGCTTAGCATAACTCCAAACTGCAGAGGGATAAAAACAAAAAGGCAACCCTAAGTTTGTTCAACTCTGGGTAATTAGAAAAACACCCCCCCCCCCCCCCCCCCCCCCCCCCCACCCCACCCCCCCCCCCCCCCCCCCCCCAAAACTAACATACCCATGGGCACCTAACTTTGTGTAAAAGTGGAGGGGCAAAATATGACCTGAGTAAGGATGTGCGAAAAACCAGAAACAAAACATATTCCAATAAATTTATTGATTATGAGTCTCAATGCTATGTCACAGGACCAATTAATTTAAAGAAATGAGACATTCAAATACCATTTTAACAATTTACAAATTTGATTACAAAGGCAGAAGTTACACTTTTTTTTTTTTCAACTGTCCAGGGCAACATTTTTTTTTTTTTTTTTTTTGTTTAGATATTTTTTGGGGCTTTTTTAGCCTTTCATTGATAGGACAGACAAGTGTGAAGGGGGGAGAGAGGGAGGGAGTGACATGCAGCAAAGGGCCACTGGAGTCGAACCTGAGCCGCTGCGGCAACAGCCTTGTACATGGGGCGCCTGCTCTACCACTAAGCCACTGGCACCCCCAGAGCAACATATTTAATCTTTACCGAATACACCAAAAGGGTTCTTTCTTAGAGTGGACCGCATAGTGAAGTCATGTGCTATTTCATTAAGATTTATACTGTCTGTACGTTTTTGCTGTACGTGGCGCAGAGCAGCACTGTTTAATCTTGACTGAGTCATTGTGCTACGCAGGTATGTTTTAATTCTTCTCAATGCTGAAAAACTCCTTTTAGCTGAAGCAGAGGAGCTTGGGAGGACCAAGAGGATTTTCATCAACTTTTTTACTTAACTGAAAACAGCAGATGCATCTCCTAAGTCTTTTAGTGCACTAATAACATTTTTTAGGATTTTTCCATCACTGGTTTCTTTGTCCTGCTGGGGTAGAAGATCAGGTAACATGCTCAGCTGGGTTTGCAGTCTATTAGAATCTACATCAGATGTGTAGTGTTTTAAAATGATACCCATTTCTGTAGAGCACTCCTCCCCTTTTACTGTTTTTATTATAAGTTTCTCCAAACAGTCATTTACATCTGATCCTTCAATATGAAACCTTGGTTTCAATCATTGTGGAGATCATAGGATCCCAGTGCTTCTCCTTAAAGTACTGCAGGATGCTGTCTGGTGGATGGGTGCTTGTCGCTATCTCATCATCCTCAATAAGTCTCCTTGTGGGTTTCTTATGTCGAGGGAGACAGGGTGCTGTAACATTTAATTCATGAGCCAAAGTTGTGCATTTATCCCACACCTTTTCAAAACTGTTAGCTGACTGCATCTGTGTCAGAGTGTTCTTCAAAAGGCCAGTGGCTCTTCTGCTTTCACCAACAGTTATGCTTTGCTTCTGCTTCCTCTGACTTTGAACATGCTTGCTCACATATCACTAAGCCAAAAACTGTTTCAAAAATCATTCAGACATTGTAAAAGACCCGAGGCTTTACTACCACACTGCCCTCTATCATTTCCAGATATTTCCTCAAGTGCTTGCTTTAGAGTGGTGTAGTTTTCCAACACACTTCTAATAGATGAGCATCGCATCGTCCATCTAGTTGGACACAGTGGACGCAGAGAAGTAGCATTTGTGTCATTTTGAAGGTTTGTAAAACAGGCCAGCCTTTTGGGCGAGTCGCGCACAAAGTTAACAAGAGTTTGGATAAAATCTATGGTGTCTCTGACCATAGTGACTGACCTTGTGGCATCCTGGAGAACTAAATTTAATACATGTGAAGAACAATGAACATAAAAAGCATTTGGCTGTTCCTCCAAAATTCTAGCTTGTACACCTGAGTAGCATCCTGACATAGAACTAGCACCGTTGTAGCACTGTCCTCGACACTTCTTTAGTGGTATATCCAGTCTCAATAGAATGTCTCTAATGATTTTTGTGATGGTGTCTGCATTGGTTGTGTCAGTACTGTAAAGACCTACAAATTCCTCTGAGATCTCAAAATTGTCACTGACATGGCGTAAAACCATTATTAATTGTTCTTTTACAGAGACATCTGTTGTTTCATCAACCATAAGGGAGAAAAACTCATCTGCTTTGATGTCTTTTGCAATTTCTTGAAGGACAGCATTAGACATGAGCTGTAACATTTCATTTTCAGTGTCATGTCCAAGCCATTTTTGTTTACTTTTTAACTACTGGGCTAGTTCTGGACAATCTTGTGCCCTCAAGTTCAACAACTGGAAAAGATTGCTTGATATATCCTTGTGTCCACGAGTAGCCATTTCTTGGCGCATGAGGAATCGGAGTGATTCCAGTATTTTGAGCTTTTGAAATTTGCTTGTGGCATTTTTCCAGTTGTTGAAACTATTGGTAACAAATGATTCTTCCTTACGTTTTGAGAAGTTTATCAGCTGAAGTCTTTCTGACATTCTGCATGTGTGACAAAAGGCTTTTTCCTGTCACAAGTATAGGGATCAGAAATCTGGAAAATAAATGTTAATATTCCAATCAAGGCATCACAAATTTAATTTAGCCAAGAAATATTTAGGCCAATATTTGCATTTTTTAAAAAGACATTTGAATACATTCAAAGCAGTTTTTAACAGAGGTGGTGCAGTTTAATTAGGACACTTTGAATTGCAGCACGCTGGAGGGCTCTGCATTAATGCTGCATTGGTCACAACTGTAGGCTAAATGTAAAATATAAATTGACTTAAAATCTCATACAGATTCTACCAGTAGTTAAATACAAAGTTTTGAGATGAGAAGGATTACTGATCATAGATCATCAAAAAATGTTAAATGTATACTCCTTTCTAATTTATTTTCTCAATTTTTCTACCTGAGGTTCGGGTCCTGGTTGACCTGCCCCTTCATTGGCTGTGCTGTTGGCCTGGCTCTGGCCTGGTCTGGCTCTGACTGACTGTTCATGTGCCTCCTCTGTGCTGTTCTGTCTATACTGCTGTCTATCTGTAACTTCCTGTCACAAGTATAGGGATCAGAAATGAATAAATCTGGAAAATAAATGTTAATATTCCAATCAAGACATCACAAATAAAGGCTACACACACTGTATCTTGTTTTTTTTCAGGACAATGTGGGCTAACCATATTTGCCATCATTCCATGTCCTTCTATGTGCCTGTATTTTATATTAATTTTTATATCAATGAAAAAAACAAATCTGTGTGACTAAAATCTTACATTTTTACATGTATGAAGTTGGAAGTTGACATATTCTGCCATATATGAAGAGGGGAGACTACTGGTGTAGTGGTGACTATGGTCATTACTGCCCTGTCAGCATGCATAATTAGGCCTCAGTTGTCTGGGTGCGCAAAGGTGAAGTGGCTGGTCTTGTCATACAAAGTTTGATGGAGTGTCAACTGGACAATATGGAGATGTTTGCATCTTGAAAGCCGGACTACAAATGTGGATTGACAAGGAGAAACACAGGCAAGCCTAAGACGTGGTAAGATACGATATTCCTCACTATATGAAGTGACTGGTAACAAGATCTGTATAATGGATTGTAAAGAAATTCGTCAGGTTTTTATTTTGTAGACAATTGATCTGGATTTATAGCGTGATGGGATGGCAGCACAATGCAGCATAGTCTTTTTTTCTCTCCTTGTTTTACTCCGTGCACTTCAGCAGCGCTGCAGGTGTTTGAGACGATGTGAGAATCCTCATGTTCTGTTGGTATTGTTTATAGATAAACCCCTTATGGAAAAAAGCATTTGTTGTAACGGTACTTTTTTAATGGATCACAGACACTCAATAGAGCATTTTAATCTTATCGGTTAGCGGAATAAGGTTATTATTGGTTGGTTAACGAGCTGAGCAACGGTTATTGGTCAGAAGAAAAATTCAAAATGTGCATCCCTAGCTTAGAAAGTCTGTTTGGAGCTCGAGACATCTTTTTTAGCGCACAAAAAACAGCTCCTGCCATTTTCCAAAAAATGAACAGTAATAGACCACCAGATACCCCCTCATAGGATTTTTTACTTGCAAGATGGTGAAATAGCCTACTGACACAAAGCCTAGGCGTTCCACTTTGACATTAACATTAGCTGGCCAGTTCAGTAGTTCTCTCTAAAGGGTTTAATTCATGTTAATTTAACAAACACTGAGACAGCTAACTTAGCTAACATAAAGTTATGGTAACATAACGTTAACACACATTTACACTTTTCCCTGTAACTTTGAGGTTACACAGTTGGTTCTTTAGAGAAACATACCTCACATGTTTTTTTCCTTATCTTATTGTTCCATAAGTTATGAATAGTTAGCTGGCGTTTCATTGTTTGGTTTTCATGTACAGTCTGTGGCAGACTGTACCGGACTGTACAGCTTCTGCTGCAGTATGCGCGTGCAGAGAGCAGCGCCAGATGTCCGGAGTGAAGTACGCAATCGGACAAGCTGCTTCTCCACATCTTTCCCGTTTTTATCATTAATGTGTCTCAAACTACAATGGCAAAAACGTGAAATGCATCCACAATTAAAACAGGCAAGCTAACTCTAATTTACAGAAATACAAACAATCCAAACTCCTCCTAATAACCAGACATGGCAACCATGGTGCACTTGCTCCGTACTGCCTGGAATATGCCACTTGGATTGAAAATGGAGTGCAGAATAATTCAAATACGATTATTTAAATGCAAATAAGATTAATTTATATAATTTTTAATTACATTTTATATTGAAAATATTCAACTAAATATCATGCAACAACTTTTTGACTTAAAAAGAGTTGAAAAAAGTGGGGGGGCAAAATATGAGTTTTGCCACCCCACTTTGAAAAGTGGAGGGGCATTTGCCTTACTTGCCTATAGGCGTAGGCGCCAGTGAACATACCAACGTGTCAATGTGCATTTTACTGTATGTGTATATACTGTACCTGAGAGGACGGCAGTGTCTCATCTACTGTCCCTGAGAGGAAAGCAGTGTTAGAATTTGTTGGAATTTCCACACAGAATATTTAAACTGAATAAATATGTAACTGCACATACTTGTGATGGTTTCACAGATGTTGATAAATCTATGTCACCGGTGAAATTGCAATTAGTGATTCTGTCAGTACAAACTGTACTGCTATTACGTGCAGTGAGAACAGGTTGAGGGTTCTGTTCAACAGGATTTCCTGAAAGGAAAAAAGAAAAGAAAAAACAGCTCAGTTCAAGCTTTGACTTCCTGTATTAAACCATATGTTGCCCCTTCATTTTCTAAAAATGGCTTTTATTGTGAAACATTTGCAGGAACTTCTTGCGGAGGATTCAGTGACTTGCATGTTTGCATGCAGAACTTCAAATGTAGCTCCTGCCACCTGGTGGCACTTTTTTATGTTACTACAACAACATTTCGGCAGGCTCAAGAACGGACACAGTGACTGAAATAACAGTAATGATAAAAAAGATAGGACAAGAATAATCCGATGACATCACACACGTCGTGAAAGGCCACAGGGGATGACTGGAGTGGACCATTGTGTCATCTATCATGTCTGTTGGCCAAGTCATGGCACGATTTTATGACTCCACAATGGCGTAATCTGACATAGTGACTGTCGGAACAGACAAAAATGTTGTGTAGTGTATAGGGCTGTAGTCAACCAAAGAAAATCTTGGTCAACTAAAGTCGCACATAATCTTCAACTAATTGATTAGTCGTGGGAGAAAAAAAAATAAAAAATCTTATTTTTACTTCTGCGGTGGTGTCTGTGTCACTCTGCAGTTACACCTCCAAAACACTAGTCGGCGGTGGAGGACTGTGTTAAGTGCTGTAAAGTTTAGTTCAAATCAAACTTTATTTATATAGTTGATTCAAAACACACATTAAATATGGCTTAATAGAGACAATTTCAAACACAAGTACGCAAATCAGCTTCACTATAACTTGCAGCATTCACAGACAAACACTTGGACACATTTCCCCCACCAATATAACATGCTAATGTTATTAGCACAATTTATACAATTTTACATTGTATAAATTTGCCTAGCGTCTAGCAATCTTTTCCTCTTCTCATATAAAACCAGGGACAACAGCAACATGTAACAAAGGTAACGGCACATAATTAGGCTCTGTTACAACTCACAACATTCACCGACAAAACAACTGTCTTATACTAAACACGTTTTCCAAGCAAATACAACATGCTAACGTTATTAGCGCCAGCCTATGGCATTTTACATGGTATACATTAGCCTAGCGACGAGCATAGATTTCCTCTGCTCATATGAAGCCAGGATAAATCCCTAAGTATAAATCCCTGAAGGATAAATCACACACATGATTTAAAATGCTATTTTAGTGGATGCTTTACTGTCTTCACAATTTATTGTTTCTTATCTGTGTAATACAAATACAAGCTTCGTTTCCACTGAGGAAAATGGTTTCAGCTTACACAAACTGACAGGAGGTCTGTGTCACTGCGACGCTGAGCGTCAACTTTCTGTCAACAAGGTGTTTTGAAAACACCCCCATTTTCACAGGTAACTTAGCCAGTCCCCACTGCCGCAGGAAATAATGGATTAATCCTGGAAAGCTGTTGATGTAGCCCTTTTCTCCTTATGAAAGTAACACGGCAATTATTCGACCAATGAGAATTTGGTTGGACAAGAGCATAGCGACCAAATAATCGACTAGTCGACCAGGAGACTACAGCCCTAGTAGTGTGAACCTGGCATTGGGAGACTACTGCTAAAGGCAGAGAGGCTACAGTGACTCACTGTTGCCTCTTGAGGTACAAGTAGTATTGCAAAAAAGCACAGGCTGGGGCTAGATGATTAGCATGGAAATTTCAGTAGATATCGCTGCATCACAATACATAGATGTCTTTCACATAATGTCAAAACTGTTACTAGGCTACTTCACATTCTGTTGATAATGTTAGTTAATCTTCATGTTTGAAACAAATATCTTAAAACAGTACAACTTTATAATGGGACCAAACCAAAATTGAGGTGTAAATGAGCTTCACTAAAGCACTGCAATGTATTTTACAACTTTTATCTCTGATTTCATCCTGAACGGAATAAATGAAAAATATTAATGCTTACCAGATGAGGGATTTCCTGCAACACTCACTGTTTCAGTCCTCATGGTGAGGGAACCTCCTGTAACATTGTCCAGTCTTCTGTTGCTAACAGCACTGCTGTTATCAGCAACTGTTGTTGTTGTGGTTGATCCTGTAAATAATGATTTGTTGTCATAACTTGTGTGGTTCCTTAGAATTTTTGATATTTTTTAGAAAAATGAAAGTTAGAACTTCTGCCTTAATTTAAGTCAAATGCATCTGAGGCTCACTTATACAGTGCAGACAAGATGTACACTAGTTTAAGTGTTGGAGTTGAAGAGCTGCTGCTGCTGTTGCTGCTCATGTGATTGATGCTGCCTCAGAATGTCAAAAAAGGAGGGGCACCTCCTCCGTTTAAAATTATGTTTTTTAGAAAGCGCTCTTGTCTTGTCTAAACTGTGCTGTTTTGCTGTTGTACCTTGAGAGACTTATTTATAGATAAAAAATATCCCCTGCTTATTAAGGATATAATCAGGGTCACCTGAAATCCATGCATATAAAGCCATGAGTCTGTCCAGGATTGGCCTCAACAAGTCCATGATCTGTAATGACAAAATATCGCACAAGGTACTCAACAGAGAGCCGGTTTGGTAGAGATTTGTGATTGTTAATGGGGATTTGTAGGTTCCCTTCAGTAAAGTAATGAACTTCAAATCATTTACCCAGAATCAACAGTGATTATGTTTTATATAATTACACAATACAATGCAAAAGTCTAAGGCAGTAGTCTGTGCTGGACAGGAAAACACATTCCAGAAACGACAATCAACTTAACACATCCTGTTTACTTGTAAGTATGATTCTGGAAATCTTCTGCACCCAAAGATAACAGAATAGACCTCAGAGCTGTCTGAAAACATCATACAATACTACAGTCTTCTTTGCCAGGACTTTGTACTTTGTGTTCTGCATATTTTTTTCACCCAGTTGTTCAAATAAGAAAATAATCAACACTTTTATGTGATTATCCACTGCTGGCATAAATACCTTAACTTACACATATCTTTAAGTGTTAAAAAATGTTGAAAAATAAATCTTATAGAACAAAACTGAAATATTTCTTCATGCATATGCTATAAAAAGTCTCACAAGATGACTGTGTACTCTACCAACACCAGATCCACATTTGAAGAGTCTATTAATGACACAACAAATAGGGCACAAAGCCTTCCCTTATTTGGTTTGACTTACCGTACTGTAGTTGACCAAAAACTGCAGGATGAAAAATGGATCTAAAGATGAAATATTAAAAAGTTTCCGAGTGTTAATCAATAGAAACCAAAAGCTTGCAGCTCCTTACGTCTTCTCACTCTTGTCTAAGCACAAGGGGAGGGGAAGGTTGAGAATGAGGAAGTAAAGACACATTCCACGTAGCGAAAATAAGCAGGCCACATCTGTTTCTGTTTTTTTCATCTCTGTGCAAAATCTTGTTTGGGCAGAGGCCCTGTGTCAAACTATGGTGGGGGGTTTCCAAAACTTCTAAGGTAGTTGGAGGATATGTCCTCACAGGATCTTTTTTTTCTCTCTCAAATTCAAATTTCACATCTAACACTGAAATGAAATGCCATTCAGTCAATGAATGGCATTTAAAAGTAAGTTTGGAAACAGTGCATTGTAATTTATAGTGCTCCAGATATTCATGATCTTATAGTCAGAGCTTACCCATCACCAGGAGGACCGACACACTTCTTATCAGCCATCCCAGAGCCGACCTCCACCAGATGGGCCGACATACTTCTTATCAGCCATCAACCATGGCAATTACAAGTGTGTACAGTGGAAATTTACCTTTTAATGCCATTAATGTACTCATCCAAATTCTAGTTTAAAAAAACAAACAAACAAAAAAAAACAATATCAAAGGTATCATTACTTCTAACACAGTGTAGGGTGGATGTGAGGGTGGTGGATGGGTCCAACAAACACTAGACCTTTACCTAGGAGCCCGGTGTTCACTCCCATATAAATGTAAAGCCAAATCACAATGTTTTTTTTCCAAACCTATCCACGTGTTTCTTTCCTTAACCCAACCACATGCATTTGTTGCACAACAAAATAAAGGTAAATACGAGGTGTTTTACCAATGTTGTAGGTTTATTTTGAAAAAGACTGTGTGCATCGAGGGAGCAGAAACTGTACATTTCCTGTGAAAACAGAAGTGTATTTTGAAAAGACACAATGCATGTAACAAGCATAAACTAACATGGCGTCCCAGAACGTCAAAAACATATGCACCCAGGATACCTAACACGTCATACAGTCAGGTCCATAATTATTTGGACAATGATACAGTTGTCGTCATTTTGGCTCTGTACACCACCACAATGGGTTTTAAATGAAACAATGAATACCTGCTTAAAGTGCAGACTCTCAGCTTTCATTTAAGGCTTTTTTCAAAAATGTACTTATGAGCCCTTAAAGTCGGGGGACTGTGTGAAGAAATGGCTGTCATTCCTACATGGTTCATACTACATTTTTGAAAAAAGCCTTAAATGAAAGCTGAGAGTCTGCACTTTAAGCAGGTATTCATTGTTTCATTTAAAACCCATTGTGGTGGTGTACAGAGCCAAAATGAAGACAACTGTATCATTGTCCAAATAATTATGGACCTGACTGTATGTAGACATGAAAAGTTAATTGAACAAGCAGGGATATGTGACAAGTTGGGAGTGAAAATGTGTTGGCATTTCAAAAATGGAGCCAATGCAAAAGTGACGAACACTGCAGTTCTTTGAATGGCCACTTGGGGCTGTCTCAAAAACAGAGTAAATCCCCATAGGCCCCCTTGTTAAAATGTCCAACTTTACAGCAGAAATGAACATGTTTACAGCCTGGTACAAAAAACAGTTTTGGTCTCTAGAGCTAATTTTAACTTCCATAACTGTACACGGTGGTGAATTTTTGTTAATTTTATTAAGCCCCAAAGTGAATACGGAGGGTCTGAGAGAAAAAAAGTCGAGGATGGAAAGAAATGAACAGCAACAAAGTCATGTTGAAAGCAGAGAGACAAAAGGATATGAGAGGTGGATCACTCATTCCTACATTTAACTTGTTTCCCATGTATTACTGTGATTACTGCTTCACAGATCATTTATGCTACTGCCCACTGACATGGTTTTAAAGTTATCCAACTTTTAGAGGTGACCCTGAATAGTCAGTTATTCGACAATTCAACCTGATGCCCGATTGGACTACCGATCTCACAGTTAAACTGTTGTAGTATTGGGAAAATGTGGTTATGAGACAAAGGATCTTTCCATTCAGGCTATATGGGGATGCTGAATATCTAATTTTACATAGAAATATTTGGTTTCTTCCAATAAATCATAGCCTATTTTGGTATAAATGGATTAAACAGAGCACTTACAAAATCAGCAGGTGGAAGCACATGCAAACCACTGTTCGTGGCTTGCATTACTCTATCTTTCTCTCTTTCTATGAGAAAGTCAAAAATTCTAGTCACAGCCATTAAAACAAGCAGGTTGAGAAAATGAACCAACTGACATGTCAGTTCAGTTCAACTCAGTAGGCTTTATCGGCATGGCATTTGAGATGTGTTGCCAAAGCACACTTACAATTAAAGGACAGTGAATGAAACTGATCACATGAAAAACAGTATTAATCAGTACAGTGAAATAGGTACTTAAATTAGTAAACCAAATAGAATGATATACAGTATATAGTCATTCATACATATCTCATGTCTCTTTTATGTGTTGTTGTTGTTGAGTGTGTGTGCATGTGTGTTATAGATCTGCTGTACAAGTAATGTCTGTCAGTCAATTGATCTCCTCCTGTTGGTGCTATGGATGGCGCCAAACCTACACAAGCACCTCCTACACACAACAAACAGCGGTGGATGCAACACATCTATGAAGTACGTTTTTATGCCAAGTCAGTAGGCCAAAAAGTTGAACTGGGTGTGTTGGCTCCTTTGCCTCCTGTGGAAACAATGGAAACAAATGTCACACATGAAAGTATGGATCAATGAGTTAAAAAAACAAACAAAAAATGATCTGACAAATAATTGAAGATAGGCAAGACTTGACCAAGATTTCAAAAATTCTTAGTCGGGAACACCCCTAACCATTTTTGCTCCCCAAACATCTTTAAAGAGACAATATTAGATCAGGATTTTTTTTTTTTTTTTTCACTGGGGCATGCCCCAGCAACGCCCCTAGCAAACTCACTTACTGGACCGTGATATTTCTTAACCCAGTGTACAGCCCTGCTCTGAAGTAGACACAACCAGAGATACTTGGTCCAAAGCCAGATACCCAAAGCCTCTATCCAGAGGGGTATTCCAGGTAGGAGGTTCAACAAACTCTGAGTCTAACCCTGAACTCTGAGTTGACTTACTCTGAGATGGGAAACTCTGAGTATCCGGTTCCAGAACAGCTGATCTGAGTTAGTTCAGTCAACTCTGAGTATGTTCACTCTGAGTTAAACCGACAATAAAAAGCCATCATCAATGGAGCTCCGACTCCACGATTCACCATGGCAACAGGTAAATAAAAGACAGAGCCTCCATTTTAATCCAGTGGATGTAGAGATATTAATGCATGTGTAGCAGACGGTGCACATTTATCTTTAAAAGAAGAGCCTGAGTCAGAGCGAGGAAAGTGTAAATAAGTTAACCATAAAGTTAATAAAAAAGTTTTATTCAGTGTTGTCCGTTTATTCATCATTTATCAGACTTACATTTCCTTAATGAAGATAAAGTGTTGGAATCTGACTGTGTATCAGGTTGTAGATACATTAGGCTACATTATATTAATTATATACAATAATATATTTGCTCAGATTTAATGTGATGGGGAAAACAGCAACTGAAAAATAGGAAGATTTAAAACATATAGGCTAGGTTATAGATCAAAGACATAAAGACATGACTGTAAACTCACAGTCTGACCCAGTAATAATATGTTTGGTGATCTGCACTTGAAAAGACGTTGAGGTTAAAATACAGTATATTTTAAAATGTTGCACATCTATTTGTATCTTGACTCAACAGCATTCAGTGACTTTATTTCAGCTACAAATGTAGCTAGTAAATTTAAAATAAAATCTTTAAAGAGACAATATTAGATCAGGATTTTTTTGTTTTTTTCACTGGGGCATGCCCCAAGAACGCCCCTAGCAAACTCCTTACTGGACCTTGATATTTCTTAACCCAGTGTACAGCCCTGCTCTGAAGTAGAACTCCACACAACCAGAGATACTTGGTCCAAAGCCAGATACCCAAAGCCTCTATCCAGGACACAGAGGGAGGGGCGCTACTATTACAAAGTCAAAATATTTACATTCCATTACCAGCCTTCAGTAATTCCAGGAGACAGTTAGATGTGACCCAACATCGGATGTCCTTTCATTGTGAATAAAATTAACTGTGTGTTGTCTGGATGCTCTCATTGGGTAAACCCTACACAAACAGAAGTTAAGCAAATATTTCCTCATTAAAATGAATAGACAATTTCTCCCCATATTTGATACTTTATTACTTGAGACAGACAAAGAGATACAATGATGCATAGCTTTAAGAGCTGACAGGATCACATCGACAGATTTGGGTAATAGCATGCATAAACTCTCTGATCAATGTGGGAGAACATGTTTCTTATAGAGCTGGTTAAAACCTATGCTTAGGGACTGATTGGCTGATATTTTGAATTTGTTGGTTTTGTGTGTGGCTGTCCTGCACCTATGCTCTAAAAATATTTGTAGCTCCCAGGAAGGTCAAAACTCAAATATGAAGTCACATCCCAGCCACCATCCCCCTCTGATTATTGACACGTTTTTGTCCCCATGATTAGATGTAGAGTTTGAAAGCCTGTTAAATAAATGCTCTTGAGAGTTTAGTTTCAATTCTAATGGTCAGTTCATTGCATGAATTGTAAGTACACTGCAAATAAACCCAAAAAATCCAAGAAACAAAACCTTTACAATGCTAAATAGCTACTGGCTCTGTAGATTACATGCAGCGGCCCATTTGTCCAGTTCATGTAAGAGAATCCCATCAACATTTGTTAATATCTCCCACTGACAGATAATACGTTAGGCCTTAAGCCTGTCATTTTACTGCTGCTTAATCAGATCTATTTTCAAAAGATAGCATTACCAAAGTACAAAATAAAGAACACATACAACATAAAACCACATCACTCACACACTTTATCCACAATATATCCAAAGCCAGATTTTCCAAATTTAGCCTACAGTTGTCTTTTTCAATGCATTACCATTACTAGTTCATACATTGTACTTCAACTGTTGCTTAGCACTTTTTTTGTCCTTTCTCAGAGCTTCAGAAAAAAAGAGAGGAGGATTTTTGACCATTTACAATCAATCTATCAATAAATTTAGTAACAGTTTCCTCTGGCTGAAAGATATGCTTCAAAACAACCCCCCAAAAACTAAAGTACCAACCTATCAATGTGCATTTTACTGTGTGAGGGTTATTACCACTACTGTATGTGTATATACTGTACCTGAGAGGACGGCAGTGTCTCATCTACTGTCCCTGAGAGGAAAGCAGTGTTAGAATTTGCTGGAATTTCCACACAGAATATATAAAATGAATAAACATGTAACTGCACGTACTTGTGATGGTTTCACAGATATTGATAAATCCATGTCACCTTTAAACTTGCTATTAGTTATTCTGTCAGTACAAACTACACTGCCATCACATGCAGTGAGAACAGCTTGAGAGTTCTCTTCAACAGGATTTCCTGAAAGAAAAAGAAAAAAAGGAAACAACAGCTCAGTTCAAACTTTAACTTCCCATACCAAACCATATGTTTAAAGGTGCAATGTGCAATGCCTTGCCACATTCTTCAATCAAATAGGGGGCAGCATTTCACCTCCCCCCACCCTCCTCCTCCCTGTTGAAGATGTGAGGTGTATAGTTAGATGCTACAAACCTTGCAATGTCCTCCAAAATGTACAACCTTCCAATATTCAATATATACAACGTAATTGTACAGTTGTCAGTTTCAAAAAAGCCAACTAACTAATAGAAGGGCAAGAATACACACAGTTGACCAAACTGCTGTAACACTGAGGGCAATTCAAAATAACACTGCTATCTTACAGTCTTCACATTTGCTTAGCTCAGTTTTAGCAAAACCATAGCAGCAAGAAAACAGCCACATCAAAACCACATATCGACACAATTTGGAATGTTTTGCAGTGAGATTTGTGTTGTCAGTAGTTGCACTAGAGATACCAGCTTTTCTCAAACACTGATTTATCTATGGAAGCCCACTACAATATCCCCAAACATATGGCTTTCTTTTTTTTTACGTTAATCAAAGGGTTAAATTTCATTTAATTGTAAATTAATATTTTCTCTAGAGATGTTACTACACAGAGTTAAATGGGAAAAAATGATGGCATGAAACAGCAGAGGCACTGTATCAACCCGCTGAGTACTGCCATTAGCGTCAACCTAGCAAAGACTGTTATTTCTACATAATGGAGGATAAAAAGTAATAAAATTAAAAAAGAGAGGTGGGGCTTTCACTTCCCACAACTGCAGAGGCTACCAGCTTCATTAGAAACAGACAACATTAGAAACGAGCCTTTATTTTTTATTTCCCCTTTATTTTTATATTTTCACTTTTTATCCGCTCCCGTTTGACTTCATAAAGTTAATACATCGCGCCATCATTTCAAACTCAACACTTCCTGTACGTCTATAGAATTAAAAGCCCCTTATACCTTAGGTTGAGAGAATCCCTTCATTTTCTAAAAAGGCTTTTATTGTGAAACATTTGCAGGAACTTCTTGTGGAAGACTCAGTGACTTTTGTTTTGCATGTTTGCATGCTGTGCTTCAACTGTAGCTCCTGCCAGTGTGAACCAGGCATTGGGAGACTACTGCTAAAGGCAGAGAGGCTACAGTGACTCATAGTGCTGCACCATTGGATAAAAATGTGCGATTGCGATTTGAGTGGACAATATCGTGATTTGCGATTGTGATTTCAATATAATGAAAAAAAAAGTATCATTAGTCTTCTTGGTTGATTCAGTGTTTCCTCTACATTATATTAGGGGGGCACTGACCTTACCTGACGAGACATAGTTATTGTTATGGACAGTGTAAATAACCATCAACAGACTGAGCACAGTCAAACACGCTGCTCACACAGCAGCGCAGCACGGCACTGTACACGCAGCGGAGCGAGCCTGTGTTGCGTTCAGGCGTTGTCATGTAAATGACAAATACCAGCACGCCATAGCACAACACAGCAGCATGTGAAGTGGGCTGAAACCAAGCAAAATTGCTCAGTTTTTTATTTGTTATTATATAGTTTGTTATGGAGTCTGTGATTTCCCCGTGACTCTTACAAATGTTTGCATAACTGTGCATGGATGGTTTTTATGAGGCTCTGGCGGCTTTCAGTTGTCTCTTTGTCTTTAACGTTACACGGCTTGTCTTTCTCTCACAGGCATTCGTCTTACTTTTCTCTGTGCTGTCTCAAGTGCTGATATAGATTGGTCATGTTGCCGCGGGACGTGGCAACTTTAACTTTTACACTTTTACACAGCACGTCTTTCTGTTCAACGTCGCCGTACCTGAATCCAAAGTATCGGCATGTAATAGACGTTGCGTTTTTTCCGCCACCAACTCAGCCTGTTCATGGTCATGCTCTTCTTCAGCGTCTATGTTGAGCACTGCTGCACGCCAGGTGGTCACCTGACCATACCTGCTGGACACACCAGGATAGCTTGTGGGAGTAATGTCAACAAACTCCACACACTACAGTAGAGGTAGTCCCATTCACAGGCACACAAGTTAACATTTATTTACATTAAATCGCAAATCGCAGCCTCTTATGTGGTTATATAATCGCACAGCCTGACATCACGATTGCGATTAGATTAATCGTGCAGCACTAGTGACTCACTGTTGCCTCTTGAGGTACAAGTAGTATTGCAAATAAAGCACAGGCTGGGGCTAGATGATTAGCATGGAAATTTCAGTTGATATCTCCGCAGCACCATACAGAGATAAACTGTTGAATAGAATGGTTACTACTTCACATTTTGTTGATAATGTTAGTTAATCTTTATATTTAAAACAAAAATTCTGGCCATATCTTTAACATTACAACTTTATAATGGGACCAAACCAAAATGGAGGTGTAAATGAGCTTCTTTAAAACACAGCAATGTATTTTACAACTTTTATTTTTAATTTCATCCTGAACGGAATAAACGAGAAATATTCATACTTACCAGAAGGAGGATTTCCTGCACCACTCACTGTTTCAACCCTCATGTTGAGAGAAGATCCTGTAACATTGTCCAGTCTTCTGTTGCTAACAACACCCCCATTATCAGCAACTGTTGCTGTTGTGGTTGATTCTGTAAATAATGATTTGTTGTCATAACTTGTGTGGCACAGTTCCTTGGACATTTTTATAATTTTTAGAAAAATGAAAGTTAGAACTTCTGCCTTAATTTAAGCCAAATGCATCTGAGGCTCACTTATACAGTGCAGACGAGCTGTACACTAGTTTCAGTGTTGGAGTTGAAGAGCTGCTGCTGCTGTTGCTGCTCATGTGATTGATGCTGCCTCAGACTGTCAAAAAAAAACACTGAGGGGCACCTCCTCCATTTAAAATTATTATTTTTAAAGAGTGCACCTGTCTTGTCTAAACTGTGCTGCTTTGCTGTTGTACCCTGAGAGATTCGTTTATAGATTAAAAAAATATCCCCCTGCTTATTAAGGATATAATCAGGGTCACCTGAAATGCATCTACATAAAGCCCTGAGTCCGTCCAGGATTTGCCTCCACAAGTCCATGATCTGTAATGACAAAATATCGCACAAGGTACTCAACAGAGAGCCGGTTTGGCAGAGATTTGTCATTGTTAATGGGGATTTGTAGGTTCCCTTCAGTAAAGTAATGAACTTCAAATCATTTACCCAGAATCAACAGTGATTATGTTTTATATAATTACACAATACAATGCAAAAGTCTAAGGCAGTAGTCTGTGCTGGACAGGAAAACACATTCCAGAAACGACAATCAACTTAACACATCCTGTTTACTTGTAAGTATGATTCTGGAAATCTTCTGCACCCAAAGATAACAGAATAGACCTCAGAGCTGTCTGAAAACATCATACAATACTACAGTCTTCCTTGCCAGGACTTTGTACTTTGTGTTCTGCATATTTTTTTTACCCAGTTGTTCAAATAAGAAAATAATCAACACTTTTATGTGATTATCCACTGCTGGCATAAATACCTTAACTTACACGTATCTTTAAGTCTTAAAAAATGTTGAAAAATACATATTATAGAACAAAACTGAAATATTTCTTCATGCATATGCTATAAAAAGTCTCACAAGATGACTGTGTACCCTACCAACACCAGATCCACATTTGAAGAGTCTATTAATGACACAACAAATAGGGCACAAAGCCTTCCCTTATTTGGTTTGACTTACCGTACTGTAGTTGACCAAAAACTGCAGGATGAAAAATGGATCTAAAGATGAAATATTAAAAAGCTTCCAAGTGTTAATCAATAGAAACCAAAAGCTTGCAGCTCCTTACGTCTTCTCACTCTTGTTTAAGCACAAGGGGAGAGGAAGGTTGAGAATAAGCATAAACACAATGCACTTAGCAAAAACAAGAAGGCCAGGGCCGTTTCTGTTTTTTTTATCTCTGTGGAAAATGTCGTTTGGGCGGAGGCCCTGTGTCAAACTATAGTGGGGGGATTCCAAAACCTCTAAGGTGGTCAGTCTGGTGCACTTTAAAGAGAAAATAGGTGAAATCTGTGAGGAACTCTTATTAAAAGCTTCCAGTAATTTAAATTGTGCAATGTTTCAATCTAACAGCGAATGAATTTCATTTAAAAGCATGTTTGGAAACAGTGCATTGTTATCAAGAGTGCTCCAGACATTCATGATCTCACAGTCAGAGCTTACCCATCACCAGGAGGACCGACACACTTCTTATCAGTCATCCCAGAGCAGACGGTGTCATTACTTTTTATCCAAATACGGTCACTTCTGGCTCCAAAATACCAAGTTGGTGATGGCCGAAATGCAGAAGTCATTCATCCACAGAGGATACTGAACATGCGAAAACACCCTGAAACTGAGGGGACATCAACAATATCCTTTTACAAAGAGAGGCATTCTGTATTTTAACCCTTAATACTCTCTTACCTAAAGGCTAAAACTTAGAGTTTGATCTCAGTTTTCTTTGGTAATTTGTTATATTTTGAAAAAGGACAAGTGTGACTGACAGATTTTACTTTACCTTTACAAATGCCTTTTATGAATTTCGATTGTCCAAAAGGTTTATTTCTGTTGATGCAACACCCCTTTTTCCCTGTCCTACTTGTTAGTGTTGTGCTCTTTGTTATAGGTCCCATCACAAATTCTGGCTACTTGCCAGACTAAACTTCTCTGTATCCTTAAAGAGTTACAACTCTTTACTATTTTTTCCTACTGTTTCCATGTGTTTTTCTACATATTATGTTTTTTATGATTAGTGTTTTTTGGATGATTTATGATAAATATTCAGTGTAACTTCTGATATTCGTATTCAGTATGCTTGCATGGTATTGTTTTTTGTTGTTTTTGGTTCCTTTTCATGGAGACATGTTTCGTCCACCATGTAGGACTATGAGAGAGTGCCATTCAGCTCTGCTCTGATTGGCCCAACCTGATTGTTGAGTGGATTGAGAGATGAATGTGTTTGTGTCTATAAATGGCTTGCTCTGCTTTGTGATGGTGATGGTGACAATGCCTGACAAAGATTTCTGTTAGCTGAAACGCTGCACAATTAAAATTTCTGGGGGCTTTTCATATAGTGTGTGGATCTCCTGTCTGATTAGTTAGTTAGTTAGTTAGTTAGTTAGATTTTGTGATCCAGCACCTGTAAAAGTTTTTTGGATCTGCTTATCTTACACCTTGCTTGTTTTAAATGTTGCAAGAAAAATGTGTTCAGGTGTCAAAATTAAGACAAATATTGCACCTCATAAATTCTTCAGTAGGTGGAAAGGAAGTACCTATGTACAGTAAAGTCACATAGGTTAGGTCTAGCAAAAGAAATATGACAACGTAGCTTGAGCTAACTCAAAGTTCACTCGGTTCACACGATCCCTGACACTGGTCTTCTGGGGGAAATTCCTGTGTCAACTGCCTCCTCACATGAACTTCCGGTTTTTATACTACTGCTTTCTTTATTCTCACCAGCACATTGATCACGTCACGGCAGCCTTCCCAGTTATGTGTAAGTTAGAAAATACTACAGGAAAAGGAAAAAATAATAATAATATTGTAGATTCTGTGAACCATGGCAGCATCCACCGTTAAGCTCACTGAGGTCCAGACCTCTGTATTTTTTAGAAATGTACATGAAAGTTGTGAACAAATTGCCAAAAATAACTTTACTTTGGTGCGGCAAATATCTTGTAAAATACCAACATTACCTACTTGCTCATCTGATGGCAGTCATTTTCTGTGTGTCTCTGGGGGGGTGGTCAAGTGGAAACTTCAGTTAAGATGGTGCTTCCTTGTTTATATCAACAACTTGAGGAAACAGGACAGAAAGCTGAATCCATGTGAGCCTGATAAAGGTTAAGGAGAGAATGTTACTTGTGGACTGCTTGTAGTTCAAGTTTCAGCCATTCATCCTCAGTCCTCATCTGACAAATAGCTCCAGTAGGTTAAACAGTGACCTTCTATCATGATGTCAACTAGTTAGTTTCACCTGACTGAAATAACTACCTCTTAAATTCATACTTTATTAAGGGTTGGAATTCATGTTCAGTTTCAATTTTCAATTCAATCAATCAATTTTATTTATAAAGCCCAATATCACAAATCACAATTTGCCTCACAGGGCTTTGCAGCATACGACATCCCTCTGTCCTTATGACCCTCGCAGCGGATAAGGAAAAACTCCCCAAAAAAACCCCTTTAACGGGGGAAAAAAAAACGGTAGAAACCTCAGGAAGAGCAACTGAGGAGGGATCCCTCTTCCAGGACGGACAGACGTGCAATAGATGTCGTACAGAACAGATCAGCATAATAAATTAACAGTAATCCGCATGACACAATGAGACAGAGAGCGAGAGAGAGAGAGAGATGCAGGTAATAACAGTAGCTTAAAACAACGTTATTGAAAGTAATAATATTATAGTTATAGTTCTGGCTACTGTGGTACAATATGTTGAAAGTATGTATTCATATCTGGCAGTATACATGTGTGACAGTAGTCATAATAGTCATATGTGTATAATAACAGTAGAAGAATGACTAATGACTAATGATGACAGCAGCAGCAGGAGGCATCTGGCAGGACCACGGCAGCAGCACAACCACACACGTCACGCTGTCCAGGCACCGCTGCGATATGAGTTAATCTGAGAGACAGTGGAGCACAAAGGCTCCGGAGAAGAAGCCGAGTTAGTGACATCCAGAATGGCCGAGTTAGCAAGATGCAGTAATAGAATACAAGAGAGAGTGAGAGAGAGAGAAGGAACAATGGAACCCTTCCTTACCATCCCCATTTTTGGTCATCCCTCTGTTGGGGTACCTAGCACACAGATCTGGTAAAATGCAGTCCGTGAGGTTTGTTTTAAATGAGAATTAAAAGACAAATCTTGATCAAATATTACTCCGAGGTTTCTTACGGTAGTGCTAGAGGCCAGAGCAATGCCATCTAGAGAAACTATGTCATCAGATAAAGAGTCTCTGAGTTGTTTGGGGCCAAGAACAATAACTTCAGTTTTGTCTGAATTTAACATCAGGAAATTGGTGCTCATCCAAGTTTTTATGTCTTTAAGGCAGTTATGGAGTTTAGTTAATTGATTACTTTCTTCTGGCTTCATCGATAAATACAACTGAGTATCATAACAATGGAAATTTATAGAGTGATTTCTAATGATGTTACCTAAAGGAAGCATATATAGAGTAAATAGGATTGGCTAACACCTCTGGATCCAGGGTGGGCTTTTTTAGTAGAGGTTTAATTACAGCTACCTTAAAAGACTGTGGTACATAGCCTGTTAATAAGGATATATTGATCATATCTAATATATGAGTGTTAACTAAAGGTAAGACCTCCTTAAGTAGCCTAGTTGGGATGGGGTCTAAGAGACACGTTGATGATTTAGATGAAGAAATCACTGCTGTCAATTCTTGAAGAGAAATTGGGGAGAAGCAATCTAAATATATATTAGGTCTTACAGCTGTGTTTGAGGTTAGATAGGTACTATCTGAGGGCAGGAGGTCATGAATTTTGCCTCTAATAGTTAGAATTTTGAGTTGTGTTAAAATGAGGTACCCCTGTATATTTTCATTTTCACTGCAATATTTTCCTATTGGAAGCCAGTAACATTTACATTTAAATATCAACTCACAATGTGTTTACTTTCTTCACAGAAACGTAAATGAAAAGAATCTGTCATGAAAAACAGTATTAATCAGTACAATAAAATAGGTACTTAAATTAGTCAAAAAAATAGAATAATCATATTTCATGTCTCATATATGGTTTCCTATATGTTTACCTTGTGTGTTTGTGTGTTTTAAAAAAAACATGGAATAAAGGAGGAAATAAAAAGGCAAACTGTGAGCTGTGAGGAGATGAGACCCAGCTTTTATGTGTTGCTGTTTTTGCTGTTGCTCTTGTTGTCAATAGGCCAAAAAGTTGAACTGGGTGTTTTAGCTCTTTGGCCTGGTATGGAAAAAATGGAAACCAACGTCACAAATGAAAGTATGGATCAATGAGTTAAAAAAACAAACAAAAAATGATCTGACAAATAGCTGAAGATAGACAAGACTTGACCAATGAGATTTCAAAATTCTTAGTTGGGGACAGCCCTAACCATTTTTGCTCCCCAAATATCTTTAAATAGACAATATTAGATCAGGAAAATCGTTTTGGTTTTTTTTGTTTTTTTCACTGGGGCATGCCCCAAGAACGCCCCTAGCAAACTCACTTACTGGACCTTGATATTTCTTAACCCAGTGTACAGCCCTGCTCTGAAGTAGAACTCCACACAACCAGAGATACTTGGTCCAAAGCCAGATACCCAAAGCCTCTATCCAGGACACAGAGGGAGGGGCGCTACTATTACAAAGTCAAAATATTTACATTCCAATACCAGCCTCCAGTAATTCCAGGAGACAGTTAGATGTGACCCAACATCGGATGTCCTTTCATTGTGAATAAAATTAACTGTGTGTTGTCTGGATGCTCTCATTGGGTAAACCCTACACAAACAGAAGTTAAGCAAATATTTCCTCATTAAAATGAATAGACAATTTCTCCTGATATTTGATACTTTATTACTTGAGACAGACAAAGAGATACAATGATGCATAGCTTTAAGAGCTGACAGGATCACATAGACAGATTTGGGTAATAGCATGCATAAACTCTCTGATCAATGTGGGAGAACATGTTTCTTATAGAGCTGGTTAAAACCTATGCTTAGGGACTGATTGGCTGATATTTTGAATTTGTTGGTTTTGTGTGTGGCTGTCCTGCACCTATGCTCTAAAAATATTTGTAGCTCCCAGGAAGATCAAAACTCAAATATGAAGTCACATCCCAGCCACCATCCCCCTCTGATTATTGACACGTTTTTGTCCCCATGATTAGATGTAGAGTTTGAAAGCCTGTTAAATAAATGCTCTTGAGAGTTTAGTTTCAATTCTAATGGTCAGTTCATTGCATGAATTGTAAGTACACTGCAAATAAACCCAAAAAATCCAAGAAACAAAACCTTTACAATGCTAAATAGCTACTGGCTCTGTAGATTACATGCAGCGGCCCATTTGTCCAGTTCATGTGAGAGAATCCCATCAACAATCCCTGTCATTTTACTGCTGCTTAATCAGATCTATTTTCAAAAGATAGCATTACCAAAGTACAAAATAAAGAACACATACAACATAAAACCACATCACTCACATACTTTATCCACAATATATTCAAAGCCAGATTTTCCAAATTTAGCCTACAGTTGTCTTTTTCAATGCATTACCATTACTAGTTCATACACTGTACTTCAACTGTTGCTTAGCACATTTTTTTTGTAATTTCTCTGAGCTGTGGATAGGTCTTGAGAATATCAGGCTCTTTGAGAACTTCAAGGAATAGAGAGCAGGAATTTTGACCATTTACGATCAATTTATCGATAAGGTTAGTAACAGTTTCTTCTGGCTGTAAGATATGCTTCAAATTCTGATACTGTCTGTCCGTGACGATTTGTTTGGCGTGCACATGCTGCAGAATGAAGGAATGATCGGCCCTCAGGCAGTCAATGAGTTCCAACTTGTGCTCAGTGATGGTTTTCACAGCAGGGCCCTGTAAAAGACAGCAGGTTTTGTTTATCAGTCCTGAATGAATGAGGTTTTTACATTTTGCAACTGTGGGACAAAGCTTTGAGCAATATTTTTTAGGCCTCGGTGTGTGGTTTGTACTGTAAGTGTGCATGTGGAGCTTGCCCGTTTTCTAAATGTCTGCCTGAGTGTTAATGTGTGTCTTTGTCACTGGCAGTACGTCCTTCCCTCTCTCCCCTTGAATGCTAAAATAAGCTTCCCTGAACAGCATAAGCAGGTACTGAAATGGTGATGGAAGAATCAACAGTTTCGTCTGCCTTAGCTTACTTAAAAGATGTCTCTTGGATGAATAGCTGCTTTGCTCAGAAGTAGGAAAACACAGCTAAAGTTCTCAACAGACAGTCTAACTCGAGGCCGCTCAGCCCGTCCTTGGACCAGGCCTAAAAATTTAGATTTACTTAACTGACGCTTTTGTCCAAAGAGAGACTTATCCTCTATCCCATATAGGAGCAAGGACACGAGAAATGTTCTGTAAAGTACAAGGGTTGATTGGCTGTTTCATTGATTGAGTGGAGGTCAAAGAGAGCTAGTTTCTGTTTTTGCCTCGTTCCAACGTCTGGATGATGTTATATGTTGGATGTGTCTTCATTCACATCCCCTACAACTGCAGAACAACGCCGACACTCAGTCCCGTTCTTATACCTAACTCTCTCTCAAGTGATGTAGCCGAACTGAACTGGCAGGTGGGTCCTCCAGCTCTGGAGTATTAATTATTACCTGTCATAGTGACTTGATAGTACGGCATTCTGTTTTTTGTGCTAACCAATATTTTTTAAATTTTGTTCCACATACAGGCCCACTTAGACTTATATATATATATTGCATAATTATTAAACTTTGATCCTCTGCCTGACCATCCATGGGTCCAAGGCTATTGAGCAGAAGATTTTAATACTATGTGGTAGCCACTGTATGTGAATGGATGAATGGATCGGACTTATTACTCTAAACAGAGTAATAATGTAAAATAACTCATTAGTAAAATGTAATATATAACATTTAGACAGTAACTTGCCCAACACTGAGGGCAAGTGACCTGACCTGACCACGACCACATCTGTGTATGTGCAAGAAGAAGGTAAGGTTAATGTTGCCAGTTAAAAAAAGCATATCTGTTATCTACAGCATGTTTTGGTTTTTACAACAGACAATAAGCAATTGTGTGTCTGGGGCAAGATAACCGTGGCAGGAACAAACAGTTTATGTAACGGAAAGCCCCTCTTAATGTGTAGAGTTGTTTTGTCTGATAATGATTGTTTGTTAGACACTATGAAATTTCATGCTGTATCAAATCTTTCTCGCAAGAAAACTCTCAAATGTCCAATCCCATGTGTTGAGTCTCTTTATTCCTCGACAGCAGCAGGGGGAAACAGCTAGCCTGGCTCTGTCCAAAGATAACACCTCTAAAGCTCCATACTTAACACATTATATTCCTTTTCCATTAAAAAAAAACTTAAGTGTTACACACTATTTTTGGGCCAAGTGTCAAAAGTCTTCCTTTAAAGACTGGTGCAAACTATGCATCTGATTTAGAGAAGATTAATTTCTTCTTCCACTACCTGGCTCATCCATCTGTTCAGCCTGACTCTACTGCAGAGGCATAAAAAAGTATCCTTGACTGTGTTCTACTATGATTAGTGTGTCTGTATGTCTCTGTGTGTGTGTGTACCTGAGAGGATGGCAGTGTCTCATCTACTGTTTCTGAGAGAAAAGCAGTGTTGGGATTAGCTGAAACTTCCAGACAGAATATATAAATTCAATAAACATGTAACAGATCACCAGTAAGCAGTTAGTTAAATGTTACCTGCACGTACTTGTGATGGTGTCACAGAGGCTGATAAATTTAATTCACCGTCAACCTCGATATCAGTCATTGTGTCACCGCAAATGATACTGCTATCACAGGCTGTATAATCTGCTCCAGGAACCTGTCCAACAGTAGTTGCTGAAAGTAGAAAAAAAAACATTTAAAAAAAATGGAGTTTGCTTTACCGAAGCACAAGTTATGTATTTCATAACTTTCAGTTCATGATTTCATATTGCACTGAATACCTGAGAAATATCATTGCTTACCAGTTGGACGGCTTCCTGCATTGCTCACTGTTTCAACCCTTATGTTGATATTTTTTGCTTTAATGTTTTTCATGGTTCTGGCAGTAACAACACTGCTTCCATCAGCAAACACTGTTGGTGTGGGTGAGCCTGTAAATATAACAATCACTGTCAGGAGACTTAGGTATAATTCCTAAAAAAGTGAAACGTGTTCCTCTAACTTGATGAAAACCAGATGCATTGAGGCCCTCTCACAGTGCAGACAGATCTTTACTTTCAGTGTTAGGGTTAAAGAGCTGCGGCACATGCTGGTAATGTGACTGATGTTGCTTCAGAATGTCCAAGAAGTACTGAGGGGTATCTCCTCCCTTTTGCATTATTATTTTCAAAAGTACTTTCATCTTATCTAATGCACTGCTTTGCCTTTGTACCTCACGGAACTCATTCATAGATAAAATATCCCCACACTTTTCAAGGATGTAATCTGGGTCACTTGAAAGCCACATACAGAGGTTGTGCTGCGCTGACTCCAGTTTGTCCATGATCTGCAGTGAGACAGAAAAGGTTCATGTGGATTTGTTTGTTTTCTCCTGTAAAATAATGAACTTCACTCACACTGAATTGAAAGTTAGGCTATGTTTTATGTAACTGCCAAAAATATTTTGCCTCAGGCTATTTTGTAAAGTGACTGGAAAACACACACAAAGTAGAAACATTAAAATGAGCACGACCACCGTCAACTCTACTCATCCCGAATTAGTCGTAAAATTCTTTAAATCATCTGAACCCAAAACTGACCACGGCAATGTATGAAAATATGTCATATCATTGTAAAGGAAAATACTGCTCGTACAAAAAAAAAAAAAAAAACTTGTTAATGCTCGTTACGTTTTAACCCTTTGATTTCATGGCACACACACACATACACATACACACACATCTGGAGATTCTCTTTATGGCACGATAAAAGCGCCCATAGCTTACCTTTATTTGGTGCGACGTATCGTCCTGTAGTCGAACAAAAACTTCAAGAGTAAAAATTGACTCTGAAAAGGCAATATTAAAAAAGTTTCCGACTTATGGACAACAGAAAGCGGCTCGCTGCGCCTGCGGTTTTTCACTCTGAGAGTTACGCAAAAAAGAAGCAGATGTAAAGCCAAGCCCACTTCCTTAATCTCTCACACAACCTCAGCACAGTATCAGTACAGGTAGAAAGAATACACAAGCAGCATACAGGTTAGGTTAGGTTAGGTTAGGTTTTTTAATTGTTTTCACACATCATTGTTGGTTTCAGGGCAGTATACACAACATATAACAGATAACAGACCCTCTTCCCACATATTCCCCAGATAACAAATAACAAATAACCCTCTCCCACACATACCACAGAAAACCATATAAACATAAACATGACATAGACAGTGTACAGGGGTGAAATATTAAATCTACATGTTTTTGTTTAGGGCTGTGGTGGCTGAGGGCACAAAACTTCTTTTAAAATGTTTTTTTTTCCCAGTCCAGTACCCTGTATCTGCGGCCAGATGGGAGAATTATGAAAAATTGGTTCAGGGGATGGTCGGGGCTGTTTACTATTGTACATGCTAGGCGTGGCAACACAGTTTATAATGGTGCCTGCTCTGAAGCGCTGTGCAATGAAATATGTTAGTGCGAGTGTCCGGGCTCACTGTCCACGTGCCAAGTGTGGATCAAATCACAAAAAAAGGGGGAAAAAATGCTGAGTTTAGGGCAGGGGTGTCCAACTTTTTTTTTTTTTTTTGACTGGGGGCCAAATTAGATTATATAAACACACTTAGGGGCCAGCTGCTTCTTGCGTCATATGGGTTAATTAAAATCCCATAGAAATGGGACAAACGCAACTGTTTGATATTTTTCAGTGAAAAAGTATTTACCTTTCCACTCCTCCTGAAAGAGGCAGCCCTCACTGTCTGCTTTACCTGTCTTTGTTGTGACCATGTCAGCTACCTAACAGGAAATATCTGTGGTTATGCAACTGCTCATTTGCTTGTTTGCCCTTTGTTTATGAAAGCACATTAGTTTCATCTGCATACTTGATGCATGTCTACACACTGTATGATAATACGATAAGAACAAGAACTACCTGTATTTCTACCACATTCCTACAGAGACAGGCACCTGCTAGACTTTGAAGTGCCATGGCGCATCCTCGAAACAGTGAGAGTACACCAGCATAGGCGTGACCATATATGGTGGCCATGAGGAACAAAAGTCACCTGCAAGCACAAGCACCTGCAATGTTACGGAAAAAAAACCTCAAAACCCATCAATTCCCAGTACAGCTAACCAACAGAGACCAAAAGACGTTGGGGGGGTTATATGACTATATAGGCACCTGAGGTGCTTTTTCAGCAAAGGAGGTTATGGCACCAAAACCTACCATCCAAGAGATTATTGATCTGGTCTTTCATAATGGACAGCAGATAATAGTTTGGGTGAACCCTAACACAGTGAGGACAGTGTTTGGCGGTTGTAATGGTTATAATAAACCCCGCACATCCAGAATGCTCTTACCTTTTATAGTTAAATATGGCTGTTGTGTTTTTCAGATCTACTAACAGTTCGGTAACGCTTTAGATTACAGCCCGCAATTTACACCGTAACTATCGGGTAGTTACGGTGTAATCTGTTGTACTAACGGTGTACCAGTGTAGTACGTCCCAATACATATATGTAGGTACAGGGGAACAAGATGTTAAGTTATGGAATAAGGGGCTAACAATTAGTGAATTTACAGAGAATTTATATTATAGGTTTTTTTTGCTACTGGGTACCTATTCTATTATAACAGGGTATGTGCGACCTGCTGATCAATAATATGGACGTTTGGGGGGAATTTACAGAGAACTTATACAATAGGTATACCTATTCTATTATTATTATTATTATTATTATTATTATTACAGGGTACAGTATGACAGCAAAACTGAAACATCGGAGGGAAGATGGAGGGAAGACTTCTGCAGCAAGTAATAAAGCAGATGTGATTTTATTTAAAAAAAATAATAAACCTAATTACAAACAAACAGTCAATCTACATTGTTCCTTTATATTTTCAGCGGGTAGCCTATACAACTACAGGGTACATCTGTGCGTTTACTTCGGAACAAAGGTCCAGGTGACAGTATGTTGTCATGGGTACTGTTGGCGTCTGAAGACCGTCTCAGCTGTCGCTCACCTCACCAGCTTTACATTATTGGACGCTCGTTTATGACTTCATGACTCCGCTTGCCGTCGGCAGACAATTCACCACAAAAATATTGGTCGGTTGGACCAGTATTTTTGTTGTTTTTGCAGATTTACTATGCTACACAAAACTTAAACTAAGGGGGCATTGCAAAACTCTGTAAAAGTACAACAAAGCATACATTTTCGTTTCCAAATATTTATTTGAAAACAAAACCATTCATACAGTCAATAAAAAACCATTTTGTTAATAATAAAAAACGAATGTAGCCTAATCTCACCAGTGACCGTGCCAGCCGGCGGGACTGCGGCTGAACCACTTCCAGTGTTCATTCATTCATTCATTCATTCATTCAATCGTGAGTTCAATGTGTGTGTGCGTGTGTGTCAGAGAGGAGGATTATCAATAAAAAAAAGTTTCCACTAATTACTTCGGTGTTTATTTCTTTTATTCTTAAATTATTTTTTTTTATTAAAATGCGTAATATAGCCAACAATATTAAAGACCAATTTAATCTAATTTATTATTGTAGAATGTATTTAGCAAAGCCACTTTCAACTGGAGACAAGGCGCAGCAGCAGCGCAGAAGCAAAAAAAAAAAAAAAAAGACAAATAGTAGTGTTAGGCCTAATTAATTGACATGAGACATTGGAGAGGTTGTCAGTCCTATTCTATAGTCTGTAATATTTTTTTTTTTTTACTTTATCATAATTTCTCGGAAATTACTCAAAAAATGCATTTTTGTGTGCTTCTGAGCACACAGGCAGCATAAACAATGCAGTTACATATGATGTTGCGGCGCTTGGAGGGGCGCTGTAATCCTGGCGGACCTAGTGATATAGCCTAGCCTTCCTTTGTGAGACAGTCAGGTTTCTTTCCTGTAGCTCATTTAAGTGTTTACTGGCCTCATCTAGCAACACCTCTAATTCCATAGGGTCGAATTTCACTTTGTGCTTTCTCTCCAAACTCGCCATGCTGCAAACCATAAAACAGCAAAACCCTCATTTAAATAGGGTGTCTCCAACACAGACCCGGCGGCATGGGCGGGCATTGGGGGGCAGTGCCCGCCCACAGAGTCAGCTGTGCCCGCCCTCGACTGGAAGCTGTTTATTTTTGGGGGGTTTTGTTTTTTAACTCAGAGTGGCCAACTCTCTCTTATTCCTATCTCGTTTTGACGATCATACAGTTCAACCAATCCAACCAACAAATGAAGTCAACTTTCAGCCAATTACAGACAGAGGGGGGCGGGTGCTGACTCATTCATTCATGGACAGCATCGATAATTAATATCGCCGCGAGGCGCGAGCTATGGATATCCGGAATTATTTCCAAAAAAATATAACGACGAGAAGTGACAACGCGAACGGGGGGGAGCAGGAAGCAGCAGCACCATTGACTTTAACTGGAAACGTAAGCACTGAAGTCAACAGTAACACTGAAGTAAACATTCATGCTAGGAGGGTTAGCTACGGCAGCTAGGGAGAACAAGGAGCAGCACAAAGCAGCATAACTCGTCTGCATGGAAGAAGCGTGAGTGATGACGTCAACAACAAGGACAATGTGTTAAGAAGGTTTCACACACTCCACAAACGCCGCCTGCCACTCTACTGAAAGTGACACACACACACACACACACA